ACCAGTGGGGGAAAATAACCACTCCTCCAGATCAGAACAAACGATGTGCCTTTTCGATTTTTTGTAATTTTTTTTTTCTTGAAAGAACGAAGGAATCTCTGTGAGAGGGCCACACTGAGCCACTGAGAATTCACTCTTGAGGATTGAGAAGTTTTTAAACAAAATATTAAGTGCCTATTCGAGATATGGTATTTTCCCGTTTATATGCATCAGAACCATTTTCGACAATTACATGGAGAGTCCTCTTTGGAGAAACATATAGGGGGTTCCTTCCAAAAGACACATACAGAGTCAGCAAAGGACCCTTTAAGATAGACGTATGAAGGGCCCTTTTTCGAGAAACATATAGGGGCTCCTTTCAAAATACACATACAGAGTCAATAAAGGGACATTTACGACAAACATGTGGAAGGCCACTTTTAACAAACAACTATAAGGCCCTTTACGACAAACATGTGGAAGGCCACTTTTAACAAACAACTATAAGGCCCTTTACGACAAACATGTGGAAGGCCTCTTTCAACAAACAACTAAAAGGCCCTTTACGACAAACATGTGGAAGGCCACTTTCAACAAACAACTAAAAGGCCCTTTGCGACAAACATGTGGAAGGCCTCTTTCAACAAACAACTAAAAGGCCCTTTGCGATAAACATGTGAAAGGCCACTTTCAACAAACAACTATAAGGCCCTTTACGACAAACATGTGGAAGGTCTCTTTCAACAAACAACTAAAAGGCCCTTTACGACAAACATGTGGAAGGCCACTTTTAACAAACAACTATAAGGCCCTTTACGACAAACATGTGGAAGGTCTCTTTCAACAAACAACTAAAAAGCCCTTTACGACAAATAAGTGGAAGGCACTGTTTAGACAAACTCAGAGAACTATTTTCAACAAATCTCAAATTTCTTATATTACAATCATCTCGACCACCCTCTGAAGACACATTTTCCTTTTTCAGCTCTGAATAAGGAAAACCTACATTCCGAGAAACCACCAAGTTATCAGTTTCTAGGAAATGTGATATAGTTTAGCACTATCTCTATTCTGAGTACTTTGTACAAAGCAAAACAGATTAATAACAACTTAGCACTATGTTTATATTTTAATTGTATGATACTCCGAATATTTTTGTTTGTTTCTTGTAAAGCACAAATCGATTTTTAGTGTTATAAGCCCTCGGACTTACCATTAGGTCATCAAACAGCCAAGTTTCTCGCTTAACAAATAATTAATTTACAAAAACGTAAAGTGATGGTATAGTGATAAACTTGTTAGTTTCTATATTACAAAAGAAAGTAAACCCTTTAATGGGTCAGTGGTAAGTTTGTACACTTACAACGCTGAAATTTGGGGTTGGATACCCCTCGGTAGACAGAGCACAGATAGGAAATAATAAAAGAACACAACATCGTGTGTAGCAGTTAGTGAAAAACCACAGTAGACGAAACAAACCGTCAGAGCGCAGATGGCCCACTGTGTAGCTTTGAGCTAAAAAAATAAACAAACAATACAAAAATACTTATTTGACACACTTTTCCTTATTAAATTTGACTTGTTTTCGTTTTAAGTACAAAACTAATAAAATAGTTCACCCTTTTCTTATTATTGTTAGTAATAACTGATTTTTAAAAACGCATATTAAGTAAACATATTTAATAACGCTGAAAAGAGGCAAACGTGGATAACCTTGTTCAAGTCGTTGTTACGTGCTTGGATCTAAAATCTTCTTTTAAGAATCGGTTCCAGAATACTTTCAATGAGTTATTTTTAACAGTAGCCTCGATGGCCTGGAAATGCTTATCGTTGAATCTGTATTAAGCTGCCAAGATAGCACTAAAGAGCCTAGAAATGTTTATCACGAATTCACATATTCCATTTGGAAAAAAAAAAAAAAATGTAAGATAACACTACTTTAGTCCAGTTTAAAGTCCACTTTTCTTTAATTTTGTAAACAATGCTGTCAGTTAACTGAATGGCGGCGCCATCTAGTGACATAACACGTTAATGTCTACTAGCAATATTTAATTTATTCACTCATTTCAGTAACACATGGGAATAAAAATTGTGAAAATAACAAATTATCATGTTTTTATAATGTTCTATTAGATCACTTGATTTTTTTTTTTTGTTGTTGTTGCTAAATATATATATACTTTGAAGACAGATTTGATCCTATATTCCCCAAATTTCCCTTAGGAGGTGCTATAGTAGAAACAAATTATATAAAGACAACAAGCTTAGTCTGTTTATGAACTTTAAAAAATGTGTGTGGGGAGCGGGTGTATGCTATGATAAATAATGCAAGAATCCTAACTTTCACACAATTTGTTTATAACATAACATGTTATTACACTATTCATCATTACCTCACCAAAAGTTTTATAAAAAAACATGGTATACATTGTGTGGTGTCAGGGTGGCTGTGTACGAAGTGGTAGGGATGCTTTCTGTTACCCACTTTCAACACCCATCTCTTAATGTCCTTCCACACTGTTTCACATTATTAACTGATGGTCATTGGCCAAAGAAGTGTCTTTTGGAATGAAGTTGTAAGGTCATTGGGCAAAGAAGGAAGTGCGTGTAACTCAAGATACAGCTCTTCATATCAGCATTGTAGTGGCTGTTGTTGTATCTATTTCATCTGAGTTTAAATATTATTGGATTGAAGTGGTCATTTTTCCATTGTATTCCTCAATAGAGAGTGGTTGTGCAATCTCTGAGATATGACATTTGTGTGCCCCCCCATTGTGTGTATGTTGTGTTATAGAAAATTTGATGTGTGTGTTTTCTTATAGTAAAGCCATATCGAGCTATCTGCTGTGTCCACTGATGAGAATCAAACCCCTTATTCTAACATTGTAAATCTAAGGACTTACCATTGTCCCATCAGGAATGGAAAATTGAATAAAGTTTTTTGGTGTAAGAATGTTGTGCTCTATATAAAAATGTAGTTTACATTAACTTACATCAAAGATAAAAAATGCTCAATAACAGCAATAAGGAGGAGTATAGGGGGTTGTAAGCTCCCATTAACATGACCCTTGTTCCAGACTGTCATCCCACAAAGTTAGGAGTAGTTAGGTAAAGGACAAACAGACAGACACACAGATTTTTGTGCTTTTTCATATATAATCTTCATATTTGGCTCATTCATCAAAATAACAGCTCTAATATGAATGAAAGATAACATATATATAATTAATGAAATAATCACGAATTTCACCCTTCCATAACTAGTTAAGAATATATCTTCAGCTAGGTATATTCACCTCATTTTTTTTTAAATGTTTGTGCAAATGTTCTGCCTTTAGTTATGATGTTTGTTAACGAGAGGTCATGAACATGTACCAATCCCCTTACTTGCGTGAAAGTTGCATATTCCAATTGCTAAAAACTTATATATCACTTTCACCCTCTATTTGTCTCTCCTCTGGGTAGGGTGAGCCCAACTCAGTTACATAGTGCAATTACTTGTACAAATTGGTATAAGTTAGAGTTATTGTTTTTTTCCCTTTAACTATTACTTGGAATAATTGATGAGGTATGCTGAGATGGATTCTGATATACTGCATGTTTTGGTACTTTTGTGTGAATTTGTTCAATAAATCAAAATTCTTTCTGTCTTTGTAGCTGGTTAGTAAGTAAAAAAGAAACATAAGCACAAATGTTGTGAATAAGTAGTTGCTTATTTGTTCACTTATGTTTATTTCTGTCTCTTGCTGTCCATGTTCAAAATTATTTGTTACAGTAATGTTGCGTCAGCGAGGTCACGTGACTAGTATCACGCCACGTCCTTCTAGAAATATCCTGTTCCTTCGTG